CTTTGTTCATTCTATAGTCTCTTACCCTTTGTCCATCCCTTCATTCTTTGTACCTTTATCTTTGACCTTCCTTTCTTTCATTCTTCATAGCTTATCATTCTTAGTAGCTCATACTCTCTAAGTACTCTTGTGTAGTTTAGTATATATAGGCATACAAGATTAGACTAGTTCTGTAGTCTTGATCTTGTCTACTCTAGGTAGTCCTGTACTCTTAGGCTCACTCTATATACTCTACTCTTGTCTTACTCTCTCTCTCTGCCTGTTCTACAAGTTCTGACTATGTTCTAATACTTACATTCTGTATTTCTGTTGTGTAGGATAGTTGTAGCCTGGGTCCTCTTGCTGAGCCTTTAGGTCCCCTCTATACTGTTACTAACACAAACTTGATGATCCAACTATTCTAGTTTAGAGTTCTATCTATATTGTATACTAGGATTGAAAGTAGAACACATTAAGTAGAGAGGTGGTGTTCCTACACAAAGGCCTTATTAATGTACAAACTAGTGTATCTACTATCTACTAGAACTATTGTTCAGATCTGGAGGGATTCTAAGAAGGAAGCTAAGAGGACAGGAACTTAGAACTAGTGTCTAGAATGTTCTCTAATAAATTACTACTTGTTCTAAAGGGAACACACAGCTTGTACAGTCTTATTGTCTAAAAGAGTAAGTATATGTACTAACATTTCCTTATTAACCTCTCTCTTTCAACAAGGACAGACTTATGTCCTCAACTATAAACTCAGTTAAGACTATCCTTACTTAATACTATAGACAAACTACTAAGTAGTAAATAGGGCTAGGTAGTGTTCTGAATGTTCTAAGTTCTTAGAATGTAAAAGTAGTAGGTTGAATTGTACAAATTTAGACTCAGATAAAGTACAAAGAGAAGAATCAAAAGAATCAGAAGGAATAAGAGAACTATTTACTTTTATTTTTGACTTTTTTCTTTTTAATAAATAATTTTGTTAATTTACTTTTTCTACTTTTTCTACTTTCCTTACTTTATTTACTTCTAATCCTACAGTGTCTATTAAATCAAAAGTGACTGTTAAAAAATCTGAGTCATAGTCCTTTAGTACTACATTTACTATTAGGCTCTACAAAATCCTAGAGTATATAGTCAGGGTTTAAGAGTTCTAAAGTAACTTTCAGATTTGTAAAAAAGGCTTCTTACTACAAATCCTACTTGTTACTCATTATTACTCTAATGACCTAACAGATATACTATTACTTTTATAGATAGTCTTTAATTTAGTGTTCTGACTTTCTACAGACAAAGTATACTTCTTACTTTTAGACTTCTCTAATGTTTATTAGAATAGATTGATTGTGAATTATAGGTGGATCAATCTGAGGGCTCAGAACTGTCAGAGCTAAATGTATGTACAGACATTCTGTACAGACTTAATGTATCTGAGTTATAGTTTAGTCAAAGGAAATAGTGTGTGTCTTCTACTTAGTGTAAGTAATTAGTTCTAGTATTATTCTAAGAATTTTATTAACTAGTTTTAGGTGAAGAGCTTTCTTAAGTATTCTAATAAAGACATTATCAAACCTAAGTGTAAATCCTACCTTCTAGGCCAGGATATTAAACTCCTGAAAGAAGGTATTAGTAGAACATTTACCCTGTTATAGAGATACAAGCTTGTTCTATACATTATACTTCTTATTTAGATTAATGAAGGAAGTACAGAGTTGTCTTATGAATTCTGAATACAACTCATTGTTCTGAAGTCAGATTAGGCTTCTGATTCAATAGTCTTCAATCTAGTTCTAAGCCTAGGTGGTCACATTACCTTCCTTTATAAAGGAGAGGACAAATAGAATGTAATTAAGATCTAAGAATAGATTAGTCAAAGTAGTAACTATGTATAGTTTGACTTAGTACTAGAAGTCCTTAAAGTACTACCTATTAAAGTCTGAAGGGTAGACTATATACACTTTCTTTCTAGAATGGGTTACAACTTCTAAAACAATTAGAACAGATTCTAAGAGGGCTGAGAGTATATAGTTAGTAAAAACCTTTTAGATAGAGGTCTACACATATTAAGCTAGGTCTGCTTACAATTCAGGTCCCCTCTATACTATTACTAACATTAGATTAAGACTACCTATTACTACTCTACAACTCTCCTACATTTTAGGCATTAGTACTTACTATTGTGTCAATCTCTTTTCTTTGTCCTAACCCTTTTACATTTTTAAATTTTAAACTTTCTAAACCCTTTTAAACTTTTACCACCCTTCTTCTATTTATTACCCTTTTTAGTTTAGTGTTGATTCCTTTATAGTATAAACATAGACTCTCTTACACTAACTGCCACCCCTACTGTCCTGCCAGATCAGTAGGGCTCAGTAAGAGGACCCAGGCTACAACTATCCTACACAACAGAAATATAAAACACAAGCACTAGAACATAGTCAGAACTTGTAGAACAGACAGACAGAGAGAGAGTAAGACAAGAGTAGAGTATATAGAGTAAGCCTAAGAGTACAGGACTACCTAGAGTAGACAAGATCAAGACTACAGAACCAGTCTGATCTTATATACTTATATATACTAAACTACATAAGAGTACTCAGAGAGTATGAGCTACTAAGAATGATAAGCTATGAAGAATGAAAGAAAGGAAGGTCAAAGATAAAGGTACAAAGAATGAAGGGATGAACAAAGGGTAAGAGACTATAGAATAAATAAAGAATGAAAGGGTGGTCAAAGGAATGGAATGATAAAGTAAGGAGGGGTAGTAGTAAGAGTCAGCATGCATATAGTCTATAGACAGTGCTCCTGAGGGACAGAAGTCCTGAGTTCTGGTATGGAAGGGTGTAGAACCCTCAGAACTGAAGGTACAAGAGCAGAGAACCATAACACTCAGAACTCCTATCTTCACTACATAACATGTCAAAGCTAAGAAATTTACTCAATTTACTGTGTGCTCAAACTATTTGAACTTGCCTCTGTCTGTTGATATACAGACGAGGCGAAGATACAGCGAAGCCAAGCATACCCCGAAAGGCAGTTCAATTCAAAATGGGTCATGGTCAATACCAATACTATCATAACTTCATGTTTGAACTTCGGATCCAAGTGATTCGGGGTGCCCTCGCGCATGTCTTCCTTCCCTCTTGCCTCACGAACTGCGAAGGTTCAGGTATCTGTAATATGCTGAATGGGAAGACCTGCGGTTCTTCACGAATGTCTCGTTAATGAATAGCCATCAGTCCTTCCTTTTGCTTCGAGAACCACATGGATTCCTTCGTGTTTAAACGTACCGCGGTTGACCTTCCGTAAATCTTCGTGTCAGAACGAAAAGCACCTTCCTTCAAGACGTAACAAATTGGTACATTTCGGGCACAAAACGACAGCATGCCACCCTATTTGCGCCGGTAGTCTTCGAGTATATTACCCGTTAACATTCTTCCATACCGCTTCGTACTTTTTTGCGAATTATTTCACTTCTCCGTGCATTGCCGTGAGTATTTGATGGAAACAGTAACAAGGTGATGTCATATAGCTGAGAGACAAGGTGTTCTCTTGTTAATTAAATGATGTTCGTATTTGATTTTCGAATCTCTTGCTTGTGGTGTACCTTCCAACAATCCAGACTTCTGAGAAGATTGATCCAGAAATAGCTATAGCCAAGAACATCAATGACGATAAGCCTCTGGATCCCTGCCACGTTCTCGCGTGGTCTGGCCTGGCACATTCTATAGTGCAATTAATTGCTAATGAGAAGCAGCGGCTGCTTAGTTTGGTGAGGTCCGAGTGAAGGTGAGCCACAATGCACACGGCCTACGCCGAAAGTAGGAAACTAGGTATACTTCAAGCTCGGAACAGTCGTAACGGTTAGATACGTCTTTGGACTGCTATTGGCTGTCGAGGACAGATGACCCCAAACACAGGACGCTGCATAAGTATTGGCTCCTGCCAGAACGTTGGCATAGTCGTATTGGTTTATTCCAAGATCCTTTCTAAGGCAATGAATAGCCATAGAATCATCGCCTCGGCCTTCTTAGAGTCAATATTCTCATAGTTCGACATTAGCCAGATAGCGGGCTCGTCAATAAAGTCCCGCTACCGAAATAACTGCGATCTTCCGTCTCCATCGTCGTATGCATCGGTTTCCTAAACCCGACGATAGGGAGAGCCGAGTGGTGCTCCGAAAGGCCACAGGAATATCCGCGGTTTCAGTATCTCGGCATCGAAGCAATACATCAGACAGTCGTCGGACGAACAACGATGATAGCACATATGAGTGAAGAGACTCCAAGAATAGTGTACCACATCAGGGAAAGCTCGCTCCCTCTAAGATTTACTCGCAGAGACCGTATTTGCCCGGACAGCCAATTTCCTGCCAACGTTTAATTCGTTTTATCTGGTGACCACCCACAGGCGTATATTTGACAAGCGCGGCTAAAAGCCCTCAGGTGAATGCGGGAGGTTAGAATAGGTCAATAGTATTTAGGTAGTAATTACGAGCACCTGTTTCACCTGGGTCGGAACTTGGCAGTCTCTGCAATGCTATTGCATGAAATGCCAGAGAAAACATGGAATATCTCGGAGGGAGGAGAGAGTTTGGTACACTCCGTGTCGAAAATCTAATTAGCGTGTGACGGAGATCGGCAGACCTGGCTGCCGTTGTGAGGGCAGATGGGTTTATAGGCCGATGAGTCACTGTCCAGACTGCTGCAGTGCACGTGATGCATTTTATACAATTTCTGGGCCTGATGATTGGATCCTCTATTTCAGAGAGAATCCATGTCGGCCTGTCGGTCCATCGTATGTAGCTGATCAAGCCACTCACGAGCTGGTGCCGGGAGTGCCGTGATTGGCGGTTGGTAGCGCTGTGCGAGTCAAACGAAACGACCGTTCGAGTCGCCCTTCCATGTTGCAGCTTTGTCATCTCGGGACTCGCCTCTTCGCGTAGGACGTCACATAACTTATTCGTGTATAAATATAGCCCCGCCCGTACCTGCACCTACTCCCCACCGAGTGCCATCACCGTCCGTGTTATCTGCTTATGCCCGCCGACCGTGCAAACCATCGCCGTACCTCCACCGACGATGCTACTCGTCAGAGGGTCAGTATGTTGCCACTAGATACCGTGCTCCTCCTGTATATCCCAAGTTCCGGACTTTATCTCACATTAGCTCTGTAAATGCAGGAACAAGAGCTGCGTCGCGCAAGGGGGGAGATTGCTTGTATCGAGTGCCAGAGGTGAGCGCTGCGCTCGAAGACAATCGATGCTCTGCGCTCATGCAAATTTGTAGGTTGAAACTAAGGTGTGATAGGAAGGTACGTATTGTCATGATCAACATGTCGGCGGCAGCTGCTCAGGGTTGTCTGGCCGTAGGTCCCGTGTGCGTCATGCATTCGCCGTAATCGCGCTGCAATGTGCCCGAATGGTTAGTGCATTTATTCGCATCCCTGGGTGTGCACATATGTTCAACTATGATACTCCCCACAGGTCATGCCTGGACAGACCAAGAGACGCGCTCATTGCTCTCGGACACCGCTCAACTCCATCGTAAGTTGAGTGAAATGAGCCAAAGGATACGGCAACTCGAAGACGCTCTGGAAATATCTCACTCTGCCAACTCGTCCACTCATCATCCCTTGCTGAGGGAAGAACTTCTTGCCATCAAGCGCGGCGTCGTGCCTCCCGCACCTCCCGCACCGGAAGGGGAACCGGAGGGTGATTATGTTGAAGCATTGGGCACCATGAGCATTTCCGAAAGGGGCGTTTCCCGTTTCATTGGCCGTTCAGGTGGAGGCGAGAGTTTGTTCCTTGTATGCGCATACCTATGCTACATTTGATATGATTACGTCTTACATGCTTCTTCTAGCTTGGAAATGATGGCGAGCAAGGCCGCGCAAAACCATTCACCGAGGAGTTATTCCCACAATTGTTATCGCGGCGGTCTGACGCCTGGCTATTCATGCCTCCGAATACATCCGCGGCGACTATACTTTCTATAATCGAGGCCCATATGCCACCGTTCACCCGAGCAAGTTCGTTATGCGAGGCATACCTCGAGAATTTTTCGTGGATTTTACGAGTTGCTGGACGACCGCAGATCGTTGAGGAGCTTCTTCCAAGTTGTTACCGTGGCTCTGGACCTCTTGGTGGACCGCATCTTACCATGACCGAGGGCGAGACTCAGTATGGAGCGACCTGCATTCATGAACTCGCCCTACTCTTGATGATTTTTGCTGCGGGCGCCTTGGCGGATCTGACTCTCCCACCTTACAATGACGAGGCAGAACGGTATTATCAGATGTCACTTGCTGCATTGAGCTTAACGCGAGTAATCGGCTCTCCGACGCTACCTGCTGTCCAGACGGTGGCTCTAATGGGAGCATATAACGCACATTGTGGACATAATAGCACTCTTGATTTGGCTGGGTCTCTATTCGCGCTCGCCGCGAATATGGGTGTAAGCGTGCGTTCTGCTTCTCCTCATTTTGCGGATAGTAATTCTAAATTTCTTCACTTTAGATGGGTCTTCGTGAGTTTAGCTGTTCTTTCTCAGACGACAGAAGATTCTGAAAATATATCCCAAAGACAGAGACGTTACCAAATGGAACATTTGCGAGTCTAATGCCGACCGAAGGAGACATGTCTTTTGGGAGTTATTTACATGCGACTGCTGGCATGTAAGTCGCTGATGGCTTTGGAACACGGTATTGAAGCATGCTGACGCTCGTCCTAGAACATAGCTAACGGAAAACCTCCATCATTCGTTCTTAGATACTGTGACTGCCGTTATCCTGAGAGAGGTTCCGAAGACGTGGTAAAGGATGGCCGGAAAGAGGTCAGCTGTGAGTGTTAGCTTCATGTTTCCTTTCCCAGTCTGGCTCAAATGGACTTTTATGCTTCTCCAATATCTTCGATCTTCAATTATTGATATTTTACCTATTCTTTATTTCAAAAGAGCTTTTTATACTGACCGTTATATTTTTGTTTCGCGCATATATTACTACACGGCCTGATGCAAAGACTGGAGGCTTCGCCATCAGATGTCGCGCATCTTATATGCCGCTAGTGATCTCTTTTCCAGTGTCCAGCCCGTACGATACGCGCAGATTCTAGAAATAGACCGCATGATTTCGGAATTTGTCATACCAACGCATCTGCAGGTTCCTGCAGAAGGCGAAAGTATGGAAGCCGACGGTCCGTTGCTCATTATGCAGCGTCTGGTTCCAGCTGTATGCAGAGATGGATGTACGTCTTTCGACAGAAGCAGATTTTAAACGTTCTCGCTGATGCTCTTGTATGAACTACAGTACTGATGTATATTCACCGAGGATTCTTTGCGAAGGCTTTACTTGAGCATCCAGCGGATCCTATGCTGAGCCAGCACTCCCATTCTTATCTCTCTGCTTATCGAGCGGCGCTTTCCATGATCAAAGTGGTACGTGAGCACTATCTCGCGTTCCCCAATCTCGTAAGCCGGTTCTGGTCTCTATGGTCGCATGCTTTCTCCGCAACGGTTGGTCTTTAATTATTTTCTCTGATGGAATGGAGCTTAATTATTTGTCACGATAGGTAATTATAGCCTCAATTGTTGTTAAAGGCCGTGATCCGGATACCGTGCGCACGGCACTTGTCGAACTAAATCTGGCAGTCGGACTTTTCGAGAAAGCGGCGCAGCTTTCGGACAGAGCGAAGCGCAGTTTACCCACACTAACTCGCTTCCGTGAAAAGGCGCATAAAGCTGCGCGAGCATTGGGAGAAACTCATTCACAAGCATGTCTTTCGGACGTAAAGGCACCAGGTGAATATGACGACGAATTATTGATTTTCGCGGGAAAGAACAACATCGTGAAACCGAAAGACGAGCCACGGGAAGTGACGCTCGCGTCCCAAACATCAACTCCGCCGACATCCTCCGCCGTTTCAGCTGCATCCGTTCTGCGTTCCAATTCTGTACCTATACAAAGGCAATTTCAGGATCAGGACACGTTGCTTACTAGGAGCAATAGTCTTAGCCAGGCTCACAATTCGCCCCACGATTCGACGTTGCCACCGACGCCGGAGGGAGACGGTAACGCCCGAAGCGCATCGATGAATGTCGACTTGCCGAGCGCCTGGACAGCATGGTCTGACCAAGAAGCTTTGTTGATAAATTATCTGTCATCCGGTGCGGACCTGCATTTCGCGCAGAACGCAGCGTTCACAGGTGAGCCGGATCCAAGTTCGTTTATGTGGGCGGAGATGAGTACTGCAACCACGCCGGAGGCTAGTAGCCAAGATTCTGCGAAGTTGCAGCAGCAACAGCAACAGGCATCGTCGGGAGACTCTAGCGGCTTATTTAACGGAATGGGAGGGGTTAATGGCCAAGAGCCGTCTACGTTCGTGAACATGCCCGATGGCGGTCTCAACATGCCTCAGAGTCAATTCCAGATGCAAGCTGGGATGACACCATGGGATGTGTTCTTCTGATTATGGTGTTCTTCCTTTTCTCTGCTTGGGCGACTCGTTCTTTACACGCATTCCATCTACTCTGACCGTATTTTTGCGGCGTCATATTTCTACATGCCTACCGTGGACCATATATAAGAAGTCTACAGTGATATAGTCTCTATTGTTTGCTAGTTCCGTACTTGGATGTATTCGTAGGTAACCTGTGATATTACTTGTTCTTGATTAGACCGACTACCTTATACTCAATAGATTCGCATCGAAATGTTTTTCCGAGGGCGTCGCTTCTCCTCAAGCGTCCGCGTGAAACAACTCCAGAGCAATAACCATGTAGTGGCAAAATAGTAACATTAGCAAGCACATTAGCCTCAAGCGTTATTCTCCCTCACGCCTCAGCATATGATATTCTCGGTCATTGTCGGTGCAGGGATCTAGCGTTATTAAATTGTTTAATCCATGGTTACACCTACTCCCTCTCGAAATACTTTCCGAGCAGATGGCTTTTATCCCAGCGCCTTATTATGCCATCTATGTTGTCAAGACCTATTTCTTTTACCTTCCCCCTACCAAGAGAAACTTATTGCGAAATTAGTTACATAATAGTCGCCAGCAATATATGAGGAGATGCACCAACCTTTTGCACAGCCTTCTCCTCTAATTCCGGCACATTCATGAACGACATATTGTACACAGTAATTCTCGTTCCTTCCCTTTAGAACTAATGTTGGGAAAAGACAACCATATTAGTATTGCCTGGAAAGCATGTCCTCAAGCTTGGTTGCATTACTGGACTCACATGTTTCAAGTTTCTGGATTGCTTGAGCTTTTCGAGAAGATGTAGGCCGTTCAACAGTACAAGTACCGTGTATTTCTTCTTGTGCTTTTTCACTCATTGGTGTCAGGAGATAATGAAGTGGGCAAAGTTGTAGTAATATTTCCTGGATCTCTTTATGCTATTGGAACTGTGCTGTACCTGCAAACAAGGGATTTTTCTGGTAACTTTGCGCAAAACACATCTGGAGCGTTTTCAAATATGGCTAAGCCTTGAACAACTGCTTCACACCTGACTTTCACTACATTCACTATATGCATTGGCATTGCAAAGCATCGCGACTGCGACGCGTTTTCGTCATGTGCTCATTGGACCCACACTGGCAATCGACTATAACCTCCTCCCAACCCAAAAATGCAGGTACTCATCAATGCAGACTTCAAATACATAGACATGAAGCTAAGACCGCCGAGTGGTGCACAAGTACTCTACGCTCCTCATAGACCGGGGGAATGTGATGAGTGCAGAATTGATTTTATGAGTATGAATGCATGCTTCAAAGTCAATTCCAGATGCAAGCTAGGATGAGCCATGATGGCATGACTCGCATGAGGTGTGTTCTTCTGATTATGATGTTCTTTCTTTTCTCTGCATGGGCAATTCTTTTCTTACACGTATTCAAGTTATTCCGGCTATATTTTTCGGTGTCACATTTCTATATGTTTATTATAGGCCATATAAAAGAAATCTACAGAAGGATATCATCTATTGTTTGTTGGCTCTGTGCCTAGAGGTATTTGTATGCACGTTGTGATATTACATGTTCTTGATCAAACAGATTAATTACCACTTGCTCATAATTTCCCCCTCAAAATAATTTCCCAAGGACGTTGCTCTGTCACAATTCCCCCCACAAGTGTCGGGGTAAAGTAACTTGAATTGGAGAATAATAATCATGTATGTTGTGGCAAAACACTAATATTGGCGAGTATTTATTCGCCTTAAGAGTCATTCTGCATCACACCTCCTGGAGGCTGGCACATTATATTCTTGGTTGTCATCACTGATCAGTGTACAAATTAAATTCTGTTAATTTGCTCAATTTATGACTGTATCTACTCCTTTTCGAAGAATTTTCCGAGGAGATTGCTCGTGCCCCATTGCTCTATCATGCCGTCTATGCTGTCAATATTTATTTCCTTTACCCTGCTAGTACCAAGGGAAACTTATTGCAGGATCAAATAAGCATTAGTTCTTAGCAAAATACAGTATAAGAGGATTCAGCGGATGTACATACCCTGAGCACAGTCTCCACTCATTCCAGCAGCATGATGAACAACATACTTTACACAATAACCTTTGTTCCTTCCCTTTAGAACTAACATCCAACAATCACAGTCCTGTCAGCACTGCCTGAAAGGCTTATTCTTGTGTTTGAGTGTATTGACAGAACTCACATTTCTCAAGTTTTTGTATTGCCTTGGCCTTTCCAGCCGATCTAGGCTGTTCAACAGTAGAAGTACCGCGTATTTCCTGTGCTTTCTCACTCATTAATGTTAGAAGGTAAAGAAGTGTGCCGCAGTATAATATTATTTCCTGTGTCCTTTCATACTAAAAGTACTAGATTGCAATCGCAAACAACAGGTTTGTGAATTTGTGTGTAATACAACTAGTGCAGTTCAGTTATCTATAACTTATAGCTGAAGCCATGGTAATTGTCCTGCTTTATTGATGAAAGTTCGTAACAAACAGTCAAGCAATCTTGCCAGCTTAAAACATAATGTTTGTAGGCATATAGTTGATATATTCATGATCGAATAAAACAAGGGTGCTTCCCAGCCCATTTTTGGATGGGCCAAAAACGCAAAGGTTACCATCAGATTGAGGTGAGCGTGACACCTAATTTACACGCATTTATTTCATGTGCATTGCAGAGTCTGACGCGACGCGTCTCTATCACGTGCACTCGTCGACGTGTCATTGCACTTTGAAGTTTGGACTCACGATCGACGCACACAAATTCCAGCAAGACCTGTTCTGCTTCAATCCGCATTGTAAGGAGGTACTTCGACAAGCATCGTGCATACGTCGAACAAATATGTCACACACACACGGTCCTGGACAACCGCCCCACTCACATTCACCTGGCCCAGCTGGTGCTCAGCAGCCGCAACAGCCACAACAACAATATGTCGCTCCGCCTCCTCCTGACCCCAAAATGCAGGCACTCATTGAAGCGGACTTCAAACGCGTAGACTTGAAGCTCGGGCCGCCGAATGATGCACAGGCACTCTGCGCTCCGCATGGATTGGAGAAATGTGATGCGTGCGGAGTTGATTTTACGAGCACGAATGCGCTGGCGCGGATATTTGTACAGAACCCGCATTTGGCGTGTCCTCCGCCTCCGCAAATTGTACAGCAGCAGCGGTCGCAGGCTGTGACGAAAACGAAAGAGGATGGAAATGTACGTTCGCTCATTTATTAATTTATTAGCAATAACCAATATTCAATTATTATTATTATTATTGAACATTCGGGCAACTTACTTTTAGGCACTATTCAAAGCAAACAAAGTGAAGGAGGCCGTGTCAATGTATACAATGGCCGTGAACGTAGCGGCGGGCCGCTTGCCCTGGGAGCCAAATTCGATAATGAAGGAGGAACTCTCGACAGTGCTGAGTAACCGCTCCGCTGCGTACTTAGCTGCTGGTGACCACGTCGGTGCACTGGTAGATGCGGAACTCGTAATACAGCTGAAACGGCCATGGAGTAAAGGCCATTTCCGAAAAGCCAAAGCACTGGTGGAGCTGGGTCGTCTTGAAGAAGCACGGGAAGCTATTAAGCTGGGTCTGGGCTTTGAGCCGAATAATAATGTGAATTTACGTACATTTTCAAATGCTAAAACCTGTTTGCTCACGTGTATTTTCTTCCGTAGGAACTCAAGAGCTTCCTAGACGAGATCGAAAGCCGAATATCACGTAAGAAGTGAACTTTCTAACTGAGCGGCATTTTCGGACATGAAGCACAGGCAAGGCAAGCCTGGCAAGGACACAGACCTACATTGACTTGTCATTTACTACATTATTCCTGTGCTGTCCTCATTCACTGTATATTATTAAATCCCGTGCAACTGGATATCTGCATTTGATCGTATGCGGATCCCTGTGTGAACGCTGTCATAGTGTATGTCGCATTTCGTGTCCGTGTAGTTGTTTGTCATGGCAGTGACGCGACCCCGGCGCGCGGAAGCAAACATCCAAACTTGACCTTCGCACCACATCTGGCAGTGGTTGCTGGCTCAATGCGCCGCTACTGTATATCCCACCTCGCATATAATCGCAATTCACCCTTAATTGCCGTATTGTACATTACTTTGCTCGCGTTCCAAACGGCCCTTTCATTCGCCCTGTTGATTTGAGCATCTTTGCTCTTAGCCGATACGAACGACGGTGGCAGAGCGACGATTGGGATCTCCACATCGCCCTCATCAACCGTGTCTCCACCCTAATTTCTGAAACTCATGTCTAATGGAATCGAGGGCAACATGTGGAAGTCTGGTGCATCGAAGTCCTCAACGCGACTCACAACGCTGAGGAGCCTTGTTCCTCCTGCTCAAAGGGACGCCATGCGCGCTTTCTTCGACAGACGCGCGCCTGCTTCACCAGATGCTCGTTCTCTCACTCCTCTAGGTCAAGCGCAAGACCGCAAAATATCCTGGAGAGAATGGGCGGGCGACAAGTTACGCGGCCGAGTTTCAAATTCGAATGACTCCGTGGAGAAGGTCTCGCTATTCCCTGGGTGGGCGGCCAGACGTTACCATGACCCGGACATGGAAGGAAAAGAGGGTGAGTATTCTCCTCCCCATCAGAAAGTCGCATACCAATAACTGCCGGTTGGAAATGATTGTAGCGGCCGAATTTGCTCTTGAAGTGTTTATTTCTGGCTTTGCGGCTAGCTATGTTCCTCCAGAGTCTGCAACTCGTTCGCAGCGTGCGTTCATGCGCCTTGCGAAAGGTACGTTGCATCATATCTACTCAAGACGTGTGTTTCATGCCAATTGTGATAGCATATGCCGCTCTCCCGAAGATTCCGTCTTCTGGAGCGTCAGGGCGGCAAACACCGTTAAACGGAGTGACGACACAGAAGCTCAGCAAGTCTACCGAGGACCTTCTCAAGACCGTTAAGCTTCCACCTACTCCGGAGAGTATCACCGAGGAAACCGAAATCGCCGCTCTGGAGCGTCATTTCCAGAAGGCCGAACTGGACACGGACACGGACAGTTACAATGAATCCGATTCAAGTCCAAGCAGTGGAAATGATACTCCACCTCCTATCATCCCCGGGTCCTCGTCAGGTGTATCATATGCAACTGCAAGTGGTCAGTTTGCGTCGTCCCTGACGGATTTAGCACGTCTACATGATAACTTGAGTGCACGATTACAGCCGTTCTGGTCTCGTTCATTACCGAATCGCCCACTCCGTTTGTCAATATACAGTTCTCCTCCACGCTCAGATCCAATCTTCGCCAATGGAGAGAAATATAATAGTGATCCGTCACAAGAACCGATATTCGTACATAATATCCTTACGGGTCCTCAAGGTGCATTTGAGGCGAATTTACGTATTCCATGGGAGAGTATGTGCATCCATCCCGGGGCGCTCCATGTAGCATTCGGTGGTATTGAAGAAGACGCAGAACTTTTTGTTTGTGCAGAGCTACTTCCGCCATCACATCCCGCAGCTCCATACGCCGTGCAGGAACCGACTACTCGTTCTATTCTCCCGGTCACGCTAAGCCAGACCCAGATACGTCTGATTTCTGATATCGATGATACAATTAAACTATCAAATATTCTGGGCGGCGCACGAGCGGTCTTTCAGAATGTGTTTGTCAAGCATCTGGAAGAGCTAGTCATCTCGGGCATGGGCGATTGGTACACGCAAATGTGGTCAAGAGGGGTTAGGTTTCACTACGTTGTAGGTTCCCTTCGACTTTTAATACTGGAAGGGCTATTAACCATTTCTCGCGCAGTCGAATAGTCCTTTTGAGCTTCTCCCTGTCATAAACGAGTTCATCAAGGTCTCTAACCTTCCTCGGGGTAACCAGAAATAGTTCATTCTTTGCTCTGATGGGAGTCTAACATCTGTTTTAGGCTCAGTAAAGCTAAGGTCATATGCTGGCCGTTCCCTTTTCAATGGACTACTCTCTACGCCTGCGACACGCAAACGCACAGGCATACTAGAAATCCTAAATGCATTCAGTGGATCGCGCTTCTTCCTAGTCGGCGATTCGGGAGAACAGGACCTTGAACTCTATTCGCTGTTAGCAGCTGAGAGGCACAGTCAGATTCTTGGTGTATTTATCCGTGATGCGAGAGGTCCAGAGGCCCAGCCTATTGTGGATCCAACCGGCGAGGAAATCAAGAGGTGTCCACCACCTTCCAGGACTGGGTCATATGCCTCTAGCATGTCTGGCATGGCGCCGTCAACTCTGACGAAAGAGAGGAACTCGTTTTTAACGCAGCCTTCTGCGGAGACGACACCGACCAAGAAGAGAATCTCATGGACCGGAATGACAGGAGGGGTTGGAAGGAAAGCCGAGTCACCTATGAGCCTCGACACCTCTGCTGAGGACTACTGGTCTGTTGCTATGCCTGCTCCACGCCGACCATGGGTCACTCCACGCGCGACTTCCGATCCAGCGCCCAGCACAAGCCTCCCATCAACCTTTTTCGACTCAGGACCCCCATACGACACCACCTCTTCCCCTACCTCCTCCCGACCCTCATCCCCAGCATCAAGCATCCTCGGGCTCCAATTCCCAGGCAGCCTTTCCGAATCAGAGGTCGCTAGTCTTCCGCCTGCGGAGCGGAAGCGATACAAACTACAAGAACGTGTTTATCGCGCACGATTACTTATGCCTAGCCATATCCCATTACGTGTATTTGTAAACCCGGAGGAGTGCGTAGAGACAGGTCGGATATTGGATGAATTAACGGCAAGATCATCAGGAAGACCCGATCAGAATAGGCAATAGTTGTAGAGGATGGACAAAACTAACTTATCTATTTCTCGTGTTGTTGCTTTGTGTGTATATTCTGTATAATGATTATACGGCATCGAATATGACCATGAGCGAACGAGCGAAATGAAAGACCAATCCGAATAAAACTCAAAAGAACATCCATAACTGCAAAACGATCGATTGATACTGGACAAGGTACAATAATTGAAATGTTTTCAAAAACAAAACAAGTCCATAGTGTAACAAGAGGCGTCAGATACACCTTAAACTCATGCGATCGACTCCGGGCCCTTCATCCCCTCACGTACCAACTCTCGGCGAATAATCATGCCGTTAACACGCTGCTCTTCCATTTCAAACGAGCAGGGCAGCGACACTGTGTACCGCTCATGGTCTGAGGGCGACGGAATCATGCCAGATGCCGACCTAATATCACGGTCACAGAGGTCCATCTGCCCATCGAAGTGATCCTCCGAGGCTTTCTGCATGAGGTCCAAAGCATCGAGCTCTGCCTCCAATTCACCGCGGACGAAGCAAGGTGGCAAAAGTAACGGTGAAGGAAATTCAGGAGAACCTGTCACTTTGTTCGGTTCAAGATCCAGGAAACTGATCAGGTCGAGGTCTCCGTCGTAGAGCCTTTGATAGACATGTCGTGCGCCTCCCCTATGTTGCAGTAGATAGGTATTTCGAGCTTGTTCGGCAACCCCAACACGTGCCGACTCTCGGATGTCCTCTTCTCCGTGCATTAGTTGAAGACGCGCAACCTCCAGTCCTCGGGCTAGGAAATGCGCATGTGCTGGAAAGAACTGATGGCTATCAAGGTTATGTTTATACTCTTCATCACTGCCTATGGTAGGCCTCGATACTCTCTCCTCGACTGAATGAATCTGAACTCCGAATTCTGCAATCTGGGTTCCGTATATTCTGCGAGTATCAGTGGCCACCTGCTTGAATCCCTTGCATGTAGTGAATCTCGGAGCGGCAGCAGCTGCACAGTGAGCGGCAATCCAAAAGTCCCTTCTAGAATTACTCGACGCACGGATAGTCTTGTTGCGTGTATTTAGATCGCCAATGACCGTTGGGGTATGCAACTCGTCTTCATTTTTGGTTGTCAACTCTGCTGATCGTACTTCGGGTAGACTTTGTGCTCTTAGCGTGTCATTTTCTTGCATGCCGGTTACTTTGCGATCAATTGCACAGGGCAGGGCCTCGGCCCTAGATATCTTGTCAAATTCGACTTCCATGTCCGGGATCAGGCTAGGTGTGCCGAGGGCAAGGTCGTGGGAGTCGGACACCGGAGACTCCAGAAGAGAGGGGTGGTCTCTGTACTGTTCATCGTGCCCGTTGTTGATCCTCATACGCGTTAGTAAACCAAGTTCCTCAGAGGTCTCAGTAGGATGGTGGACATGTGACCTTACGTTACAGTCTGAAGCGCGAATTTGCTGATACGTTTCAGAAGACGACAGCGGTCAGCCGATTATACAGCAGAATATGTGGAAAGGATGATATTCACCTTTAGGCGGTGGTGTAAAACCTGTAGCGACATCCGATACACAAGCAATACTGAAAGGACGGATACGAACGTTATGCCAAACACCTTGGTCAAGCGGTCTGATTCCTCTGGCGGAGCTGGTGGAAGGAGTCCCGCGTCAGGCTTAGTCGGCTTGCGTGAACCATTCGTAAGCAGTTTGAATAGCACATTCCAAAGTCTCCAGAGTATAACACACAAAGAGAGTATGCTGGAGATGATCTGCCTTGTAATGCGAATTGCCACTTTAATCGAGAAGAGTAGAAGAGTGTCTGCCCTGTTAACAATGAAAGTACGTGAACTCTTCAGGAGTTCATCGCAACATGCTACAAGACACTTCGCGGATTTCGTGGTCATAAACAGCAAGCCAACTGCATAATTACCAAGAGATCCAATTGTCAAGCCTACGACTAAGATTGTCCAAGACAAAATAGACATTGTGCACCTGGCGCAAGCAAGTAGACTGCGTAAAAATGAAGACGCAGCCATTTCCGCGGTTCGGAAGCTCTTGTTGTAGAAGATTCTGATAAAGGCTGGTGACACTTGTGCAGCGCAGATCGTGATTCGATATGCATGAGACAACAAGACTCGAATTGCAGAGTTAGTCGATTGAAACACATCGTAGGCCCTTCCTATACTAATTCCCAAAAGTTTCATACTTCCGCTAGCTAGTGATGAGAATAGGCCCCTGGCAGTCTTCAAGATCCGTATGACCGGTACAATGGTAAAGGGCAAGAGTTTGTAGACAGCAATAATCAGTAATTGAGGTGGTCGGAGAACAAACAGGGTCGTCAGGTGGGCGGTAGTAATGAACACAGTGATAGTGAAGCTTAAACCTGTCGGAGCCAACTTCACAGCAGTAATGAACAAGATACGAGCGACGACTAGTAAGGGTGTTGAAGAGTAGCTCAAGACGAGTTTCACGGGAAAACCGACGTCCGAGCGTCTTAGGGTTAGGTATATGTTATCATTTGGCCAGTTCAAATATAAGATGATGCTCATCATCGAGTGGAACATCAAGCACTCGGCAACGACCATGAACGTGCTGTAATTCGCCATTGAGTTGCCAAGGAGCAGTATAAGAACGGTGACCATGACGAGAATCACTTGACGAAGTGTTTGCTCGAAGTTCTCATCCGACAAAATGGGCGGCGCCAAGTAACGCGAAATAGCATTCATAATTGCAATGCGCTGTGCATCGACAGTAGCAAGGCATACATGTGAAGGATGCTGTTGCATTGGCATTTTGCCACTGGTTGATTGTCGTGACTGAGGTCACTGGACAATTTAGGGCGCCGGTGGAAATAAGAATGGTAAAGTGAGTTTGTTGCACAGATATCCAGGAGAAAGACGTGTGCAGGACGATTTTACGTCTCCACGCGATATGGACAAGGTGTCTGGCGAGAGCAAGTATGATTATGTGTCAACGTCTGAATTCCTGAAAACTCGTGAATAACACGTGACCGTTCACTGACAAAGTTTTCACATGGGGCATTTCACAATTTCTTACCTTAAGAA